CGATGGTCTTAGGAACTGAGTCATTGCTCCTCTATCCGTCTCCAGGTGGGTCCGCCCACATGCAGATATGTCCACATTAGAGTATCCGGCGTGAAGACTGTTACCATGCTTGAAGACAAATTTTCATTTATTTGTAATTAGAAATAAATATTTCTCAATATATAATTACATAGTTTTTGTGACGAATCACTGTGCTTTAATTATGTTCAATTTGTAACAATAAAAATACATCCTGCATATCAGATATTTACATTATGATTCATAACAGTAGCAAAATTACAGTTATGAAGTAGCAACAAAAATAATTTTATGGTTGGGGGTCACCACCACATGAGGAACTGTATTAGAGGGTCAGGAAGGTTGAGCACCACTGAGCTATCATATTCATTTCTTCTGAATGTTTGCTACTAGTTTCGTGACGAAGGAGCATAACTGATCCAGAGAGTCACTCAGCAGCCCAGACTGACTAAGGCTTGGTGGAGAATATGGAACGTACCATGGACTGCCAGAAGAACAACCAGTCTGTCTTGGGGGGAAATACAGCCAGAATGCTCCTTAGACGCAAGATCGTAAGGCTTTGTCTCATGTACTTTGGATATGTTATGAGGAGGGCATCGTAAGAAAGACATTATGCTTGGCGAAAAAGGAAGAGCCCCCCACAAGATGGACTGACAGGGACAGCAACAATGGGCTCAGACATAGTAAAAACAAGAGGCCGATGCAGGACCGAACAGTGTTTCACTCTACGGCACACAGGATGGCTACGAGGCAGAACTAGTTGCTGGCACCTAATAACAGCATATATCAATAGGATTTACAGCAGGAGAGAAAGATGAGCTTTATCTACCATTGCCCAGAAGTGACACAGAGCATTTCACTAGCATTTCACTGGCTCCTATCCAAGAGGGCTGGGATATCTAGGAGAATAAATAGGATATTTGGTGAGCATTACATTGATCAAACTGCATTAGGGATCTTCGTCTCAGCTTTTTTGACAAGCAGAGATTGTGCTTCTCCTTCTAGTTAAAACCACTCATCAACAACCTAGGATAGTTTTGCTTCTTTCGAAGCAAGTTTTGCTGGACAGATGAAGATGATCAGGAAATAAACACCTCCCTTGGTGTCTCTAGGCTAAGAGCCCTGATGGCGTTGTGGTTGCATGTAGGGCTGTAATCCACATGGTCAGGAGTTCCAAACCACCAGCAGCTCCGTGGGTGAAAGAGTGGGCTTTCTATTCCCATAAACCGTTCTAGCCTCAGAAACCCACAGGAGACTCACTGTGAGTCAGCATTGACTAGAGAGCCGAAGAGTATGGTTTTGGGTTTTGGTGTCTCTAAAGCCCTTTGTTATTTATTGGGAGATGATACTTGATCCACTTTTGTTTTCCCAACATTAAACAGAGTGCCGAGCACACTGCACACATTCACTGGGTTTGTGTGGAATTTTGTGCTGGAACATTTCAGGTGAAAAGCCTACAGATTTCCATGGTGTTCTCCAGCTACGAGAGATGTCTGACTGCTGAAATTCCTTCAATTCAGTTTGATAAAATGAAAAGAGCATATTAAATTCTGAAGGAAAGGAAAAAAGAACCGATTCACTAGGCACAATAATCACCTTCATTGTGTTAAGTGCACCACAATCCCACCAAATCTTATAAAATTTGTTATTTGTAGTGCCAAAAACCAACAACAAAACCTCAGTTAAGCTCAATGCATTGAAAAATATGAAGAAATGTGTGAAAATTTAATATTCCACAATGGTAAAGGGATTTAAATAAATAAAGGGATCTCAGTAAACTCTTCTGGGAGGCTTCGTGGAATTCTTTATTCCAGCATCTCTATCTCCTCTCTTGAAGCAATCTTAATTGTACTTTCAGTTTTACCTTCAAAAATTGTTTTTGTAAAGTCTCTCTCCTTTACAAAACCCAGGGCCAAACTCCTCGATTTTGGTAATTCTGGCTCTTCATAAACATTCTTATTTATTTTTAAAAGAGATTTCCAAATGAATATTTTGCTGCTCCTAGAGCCACAGGCTTCCACAGGCTGTGCATGTTTGCTAACTCACCCACTTCCCAGCTCTTCTACCCGCTGAAGCGTGGGCCACCGCTCACCCCAAACTGGGCCATCGACTACGAAGACCTCTCTGGATATGTCAACTCAGGCTGAGCTACGCGCTGAATACGGTCGGCAATAGTTCCCCAGGCATCCAGAAAAGCCCATGCATTTTAATTTAAGCACTTGAGCCTGATTTGTCTCCCAGCTAGTCAGAGTCTCTTGGAGGGGTTGTATTTTACTTATTTTTATCCCTATAAATGGATCAATAGATGGCACTCAAGAAATATTCATTGTGTTCTTACAATGAATTTAGGCTGGGCAGAAGCATAGATGTGCTACTAGGTATTATGTTTATTAGTTGAGCTAATGTTTGAAGAATATTAAGATGCCATGGTTTGAGCTATATGAGGACCTGTCAAAAAGTATTGCTACTAGGATCGATCATGTTCCTACATTCATGGGCTTATTTCAAACAAAAGGTCTTTAAACACATCTCTACGATCACGGTCAGCTAGTTGCAGACAAGTTCTCTCAGTAATACACTTGCCTTACTGTTCTTAAAACTCCCCAAACTCTCTGCCATAGACAATGCCGACTCACAGTGACCCCCCAGTGGGTTTCCGAGACTGAAGCTGTTTATGAGAGTAGAAAGTCCACATGTTCTCCGAAGGAGCTGCTGGCGGTTTTGAACTGCCGACCAGGTAAATTACAGTCCAATGCATAACCACTGTACCACAAAGGTATACCCTCTAGAAAAAAAATTTTTTTTAAGGATTTTTTTTGTGGTGTGAAAAGAACTATTTTGAAGTCAGGGATAACATCAAATTTTTCACAAAATTAAAGCAGACATCGTTCTAAATTATTTTGCAACAACTTTTTGGGACTGCTGCCACATATAAAACAATAGTTTTTACACCAAGGTAAGCCAAAAAGCATTCCTACAAAACCAAAAAGACTTGTTAAACAAAACTCCCAGAATGTCAGGCTATTGCTTCTCCACATATCCTTCACCTCTGTCCCCTCAGAAGCCAGTTTTGATTGTACTCTTTTCTACCTGGAGACAAAGACAAGCGTATTATTAAGAGAACGTGTCTGCAGTCATCCACTGATCCCAGACGTGGTTGAAGTGTTTGGAATAAGCTCATGCATGTACCAAGTTTAACCCTTATTACAATACCTTTTGACTTACCCTCATAAATGGATCAAAGAGATTAAGGAAGACTGGGAACACCTCAACGATTAGCCAAGAAAATGAAGACTGTCGACATCAACACATGAAGAAACTGTGCTTAACGTCTGGAAACTTCTGAAAGAAGACCCGAGCGTGACCCCGGATGACATTACTAAAGCTGGGGCCTTACATGGGACAACATTCCCATTTTAATTGAATAACTTGGACTCAGCAAGCTTTCAGCTGGTTGGGACACCCCTGCCCCGGCAGGACCCCCACCCCCACCGAAAAAAAGGTGTTGTAAGAGCATCAGCTAGCTCAGAGTTGATCTTTCCATTAGTCTTTGAAGGAAGATCATCTTTTAATTATGATTTTATAAAGTGGATCATAACCAAGACCATCCAGAGCGGAAAGTCTACTCAAAACAGTTGCTCTGAGGGCCTCTCCGGGCCTCTGAGGGCCAGCGAGATTCAAGGCACAGAGGCCACCTAGGAAGGGTATGTCTTCCTTGTTATCAAACAGAGAGCATTCAGAGATGATCATAGTAAATACAGATAGGTTACAATGTAATATCAAGAAGAAAATGCCCTAGAACTGACTGTGGGAATGATTGTACAGCTCTTCCCGATCTGACTATGTGGATTATTTACCAATAAAACTTTAAAAAACAAAGAGGTTGTGGTTTTTGTTTTTGTTGATTCCAAAGGAGTAGTCCTGATAGATTTTTTCCTCAAAAGACACACGACAATCATGGGGGGTTAATAAGAAAAGTTTTAAGAAAATTGAAAATGACATGAGTGAGAAAGACCAGAAAAGTTTTTCCAAGGAATCTCCCCTTCCCTCCCACCCCCGTCCAATGTTGGTGATGTGCCTGCTCATTCGTTCTCAGAGTAGCAAGGGTGGCAATATGAGAATTTCACTGATAAATCCACAGCCCTGATCTTGCCCCTTCTGACTTATCATTCCCCAAACTCAGAGAACATTAAAAAGAACACGATTTGTGTCCCCCAAGAATGCTTTAATGTGACATAAACTGTAAAGCCCAGAAATTCTCAGACAACGGTTGGAGATAGAAACACAGTATTCAGGGTCTGGACGCAGGTGACAGTTGAGAAGCAATAACTTCACATTTTGATATTTTTGTTTAATAAAATGTTCTATGATTTTGTAGCAATAATTTTTACCTACTCTCATATAATGAGCTATATAATGAAGTGTTATTGTTGCCTGTAGCTATTTGAAATACAAGCTTCAATATTAGAAAGTTATTCTTTTCAATAGCCTCCTGAATTTTTATATTATAGTCTCAGTGAAGATATTTTGAAAACATTAAAGCTAGATTTTTTATGAAGAGTATATGCCAAAATGATGTCTTACTTGATCTACAGTCAATCTGCTCTTGAATTTCCTAATCCGCAAATGTATACAAAATTAAAATGCAGAGTTGATTCTCATGTTTTCTTATATTTTAATAGAATATCTATCACACTAGGTTTGATAATGCACAAAATGTGTCCACTTCATTTAAAAATTACAATATTACAGATGCTCTTCCAAACTCCTATTAAAACAATAACCCAGTTTCTAAAGCAGAAAATTGTCTATAATTATCTTATTACCTTATTCACTTTACTTTTCAGAAATCCATTTAGAATCTGAGGGTGATGCTCTTCCAAGCGCTAACGTTTAAAAATTCATCCCTTTGTCACCCCAGATATATTTTCTTTGACACATAATCTTGTAAAACTACAGAAAAACAGTTCAAGTGTCTTTACCTGGGAATCTCAACTTTCTTTCAACGTCTTTGTCAGTTTGCCGGGTACTGAGTGGTTGGCCTTTTGCAGCGAGTTCCAGTTATCCAGCAGCCCGATTTGCTAATTCGGTTACCATTTTATCCATGTTGTGATTCTTTGTACAAATTAATAACCATGAAAATGCCCAAAGCAGGGCACTTCCAGCCTAAATTACAACAGCCGTTTCCGGTAAAGCAACCTGGCGCTTCACACATTTTCAGACAGAATGAGTGATAGAGCATGCACCAATAGGGAGAGGAAAAGAGTATTCTGTGTGTGTTTGCAACCCAATCCAAAGCCAGAGGTGGGAATGTTAAATGGGGGCTGTTTTTTCCCTTGGAATTTTCTTAAAGTGGTATCGCTGCCTGTTAAAAAGTGTCAAAGCTTACAAAATCACTAATTTTCGGGGTTTCCCCTCCTTTGTTCTAAATAAAGTGAATTTGGAAATCTATTCTACACATATTTAACAAACTTCTAAAAGTATTTATAAACTAAACCACTGCCATGAAGTTGATTCTGACTCACAGCAACCCTCTAAGACACAGTAGAATTTCTCTTTGAGTTTATGGGAACAGTAAACCCTTAGGGATGCAGAAAGCCTCATCTTTCTGAGAGGAGCTAGTGCCTTTGGCCTTGCTAACTGTCAAGGGCAGCACTTACTTCAAAACCCTCCAGTAAGGTAGAACGATGAGGCTGTCTGCCACAGTAAGGATTACACTCCTGGAAACCCTCTTACAGGGTCTGAGACCACACTGACCATCAACAGAATAACTCGGGTACTTTTGTGTCAATTTGAAGGAATGAGGTGACAAAGTTATTTCAGAATGGTTCCTTTTTCAAGAACAGTATGTTAAATTGCAGTATTGAAAAACATTTTTAAAAGGCTAACATTAATTACTATTTTTAAAAAAATGATGTTATGCTGTAAAATCCCTGTTCTGTGATGTCCTTATTAGGAACACATTTTCTTATATTAGCTGATCATTAGTACCCTAGGGATTTCTATTTTTACACAAATGGCAAGTTCTTTCACTTCATCCTAGCCTTCCCCTCACTTCGTAGCATGACTTCTCAAGCATTCCGAGGCTGCGCATGACGTGGTGTACACACTGTGATGGGCTTCCAGGTTGAAGATGCCGCTGTTGGGGCCATCGAGTACGTTCTGACCCACAGCAACCCGATGCACAACAGAACGAAGCATCCACTTGTTTCTGATTCTGCAGCGTGAGCAGTCACTTTTCAACCTCTTCCATGGTCTCCGTTCTTTGTTTTGCGGTTAACAATTTTACACCTTTCCCTACATTAGCCTTTTTAATCACATTTTTCTCCCCTAAATGTTGATAATGGCAATTTAGCCATGTTGTATTTAATTGTCAAATCAGACAAGCGGCAACCCGTTTTAAATTTCCCAATGATTTCTTTAGTTCCATAGTGGTTCTCAGAGTTTTCCTCTAAGCTTTACTCTTGGGGTCTACTAACTTTCTTTGGAGCCATGATTTTCAGTTCCACTATCTGGCAGTTATGAATACGACGCAGATTTTTTTTTTTTTAATTTGCTGTTCGAGTAGTGGAAAGTTTGAGCTTGAGCCGTTTGACAACTGGAGGAGCATTGTCCATTGAAGTAGAGTGCTAATCATAGTGGCCCTGTAAGATAAGATACACTATCACGAATCCCCCACCCCACCTCATCCCTCATCTCCAAGGTTGTGAATCTTTACAGATACAGAATTTAAGTGTCCTCTGTCTCCCAGGAACCAGTAGGTGGCCTCCAGCTGCTGACCTTGCAGTTCACAGCCCCCAGGGCTCCTGGGTCACTACACTCAAAACCAAACTCACGGCCATCAAGCTGTTACCCACTCACTGCAGTCCTATAGGACAGAGTGGAACTGCCTCTGAGTTTCCCAGAAAGCCTCTGCTTTCTCCTGGAGAACACCTGGGGGTTTCAGTAGTCACAGAGCTCCCTTATTCATCTCTAAGAGTGATTAAATAAACCAACCGGCAAACAGTTCATTATAAAGCTGGTTACTACTGTACAGTGAAGCTCTAGCAAATTAACTGAAATCAAGATTTAAAAAATTAATAGTTTTAAGTGTGGTGTGGGGGCGGACTAATGCATAGCATCGTTATATAAACGACCATGGTATTTAAAAATGTTTTCCAATCCCGAATAAAGCTTTGTGGGGGTGAACTAGCAGAAAGCCATTTCCTTTGATGCTTCTCTCCACTGACAAAGTAATTATCATCTTGTAAGAAATATTTAGTGACCCAATCATGCTAGGAACTGCCATATCCCTAACTCATTAAGTTACCATTTTTCTTTAAGCAGTCGTTATCACAATAAATCGTGGGTGCTTCAGCGTTATGGGCTCATCTTTGGGAAAAAAACCCAAAATATCCAAACCAAAGCCAAATCCAACCCAACCCATCGCTGTTTAAGTGTTTAAATCCGGCACTTAGGCTCACCCCTAGCTAAATTAAACAAACCCACGGAGCCTCCGTTTTTCAAGCATCAAGAAATAATAGTGTGAGGGGGTGCGGTGAGGGAGGGGAAAATATGAGGACCTGATGCCAGGGGCTTAAGCCGAGAGCAAATGTTTTGAGAATGAGGGCAATGAATGTACAAATGTGCTTTACGCAATTGATGTATTGTGATAAGAGTGTATGAGCCCCTAAGAAAATGATTTTAAAAAAAGAAAGAATAATAGTGCTCAAGTCAGGGGATTGCAGGAAGAGCTCAAACACTGATCAACAATGGGTGTGCAATTCCGTAACATAGGCGCTGAATGGGAACGAATGTTCTCGAATGAACATTTTGTTCATTCTGACCACACAGCCTCGTCCTGGCGTTGGGAGTTAAATTTCCTCTTCAAAGGCAGACTCACCAATAGCTACCCTATGGGCAGATTAGAAACGTCCGTGAGTTTTCCAGATTTCTGCAAATCTTTACGGAAGTAAAAAGCCTCCGGTTTCCAACTGCTGACCTGGTGGTTAGTGGCCCACCCGGAAGCCTTTGTGCCAACAAAACCTCCCAAATGAAGCGCACTAGCGTGGAGTCAACGCTGACTCCTAACGACCCTCGGTGCGTTTCCGAGACTGTACGGGAGTAGAAAGCTCGGGCTTTCCCCCGCGGCGCTGCTGGAAGTTTCGAACAGCCGGGCCAGGAGGATAACCACTACCCCAGAGAAAATGCGGGCAAGAACCGGAAGCGAGGCCGGGAGGCGGGGCCAATCCACTCGTGGAGAATCGGCACGTCGCGTTAGAAACGTGCTTCCCATTCCACGTACCGAGAATCCGCGAGAATAACGACAAGCTATCGCGAGACTTCAGCCTCTTCTCCAACTCTCTCCGGCGCGGTCGCCCCCCTGGCCCTACCCGCCGCCCCGCCCCGCCCCGCCCGGCGCCCCGCCCCCTGGCTCTGCAGGCGCCGAGGTGAGTGTGGCCGCTCTCAGTGCTGGGTGGCTCCGGCGGCAGGTCCTCCTTCCTGACCCCTGGCGCGGCAGGCCCGGCCCGTAGTTGGAAAGACGATTGGGCCGCGGGCAGTGGGACCCCGGCCCACGCCAGCCCGCCCGGCCTCTGGTCGCTACGGGCGCTCAGGCCTCCCCACCCTCCGCGCCTTGTCGCGGCCTCGAACTAGGCAGGTCGGACACCGGAAACTGGAATTCCCTGCCTTTAGGCTCACTGCTTCCAAACTGTGTCCACTGAGCGCTTGGCTTTCTGGGGCAGAAAAGCGTTGTTTTCCTAGGACTTCTGCCAGCGTTTCTTAGGACTGAAAAGAACCTTTTCGAAAGGCATATGCAGCTTATAATTCTCTCATCTTCAGTATTACGGTCTTCAGTGGGTATCCACTGAGTTAAGTCCGGGAAAATCATTCATATCCACTGATTTAAGTACGGGAAAAGAGACACTTCCTTTGAAACATTGCTGCTTATAATTGTGTAGAGTTTTCTTAAGATGAAAAGCATTGTTTTCAAAATAAGGTGGTTTTTACTGTTAGAAATTGCATGTGGATGTGCAGTTGTGTACAGTTATATTAAATAAATCCTTTGGCTGTAGATAGGAGGTACAGGAGTTAAATGATAAGAATTAGGCTGTGTATTAGTCAATGCATATTAAAAAAACAATTAGCCCTGTTTACTATTGGCAATTTTCAGATATCATTTATATACATAGACTTTTATCTCCAAAATTACCTTTGTAGCAAGATGCATTTTAAAAGGCTATAATGATGTCTTTAACTGTCTAGCTGCTAACTGCAAGACTGGTGATTCAAAACCACCAGCCATTCCTTACAGAAAGAGGAGCCCTCTGCTCTGAAACCCCATATGAGATGTTTCTGTTGGGCTACTAACTGGTCATCAGTTCAAAACCACTAGCTGCTCTAGGGGAGAAGAGGAGGCTTTCTACTCCCATAAAGAGTTTCTGTCTCAGAAACCCACAGAGTTCTATCTATACAATACTTCTATCCCATCCTATAGGGCTGCTGTGATTCAGAATCAACTGGATGGTGTCAAGTGAGATGAGCTAGAATAACCGGTTGGCAGTAGGGTAGAGGGATCCAGTCCAGAGGTTTCAAGAGAAAAGTGGTCAGGCTCCAGTGATATCCATGAGTGAATCTTCCATCAGGCATGTGTGAATGTTATTTTGCTTTATAGTCATACTGTTGTGTAAGCTTTGCCTACCATGTAAATTATGGGAAGAAACATGGCTGCATTTTACAGCATAGACTGTGTTAGAAAGGTCACAAAGTAGGCGCTGCAGTCGTTTTACTTGTTGAAACTGGTAAGTCACTCTTCCAACAGGGTCTCAAATACCTCACCTGTGAAATATACAAAGTAATGTCTGTCGCAGTGCTGTGTTTGATGCAGTGGCTGTTAGAGACCCTTGTGCCTGTAGCAAACACAATACAAATAAACAGGCCCACCCAGAAAGTCCAAAACAGCGAAACAGGTTGCTTTGAAAGAATAGCAGAGGAATGCTTTAGCTTGGTTATAAGATAACTAGTAGAACTGTGCTCCTCAGGGTTTTTAATGGCTTTCTTCAGGGACACCTCTGCATGGACTAGAGCCTCTAACCTTTTGGTTGGTGGCTGAGCTTGCCAAACATCTGCACATCCCAAGGACTCCTGAGTTCAGATGGGATTTTTTAGGTTGAAACCTGGCATGGTGCTTTCGAGAACAACAGCAAGTACCATGGGATAGTTTGGCATTTCAAGGACTAGAGAAACCTAGGAGTGTGGTGAGAAATCTGGAGAGTGCTTCCAAAAGAGGCTGAAGAAGTGGGTGAGGCCAAGTTATAAAGAGCCCTGAGGGGCCTGGTAAGAGTTTGATTTTCTAGTTGAAAAGCTTTTTCCACTAAAGAGTTTATTTAGTGGAATATATCGGAATCAACTCATTGGCGTTGGGTTGGTTTTGGTTTTGGACTGCACATGTGTGGGATAGAATTCACTGCTAAATGATGAGCCCGTTTAAGTTTGAGAGACTTGAGCCATCTAGGCTGATTCCAAGTTTAAGTCCAGTGAATACTTACCTTGGAAGCTTTCCTTTCTACCCAGTGTGATCAGTACTGTCTCTAATACAGTTTCCCAAGAGTCTTGCTTTAATCACAGAATGTTTCCATGAAATACCTTGTTCTTTTAAATAAAATGCAAGTGGTTTCATAATAGCTGGAAATTAGAGTTTGAAAATAACATAAAGTAATAAGACACTATGAAACTGCTTATTCCATCTTACTACATTTTGTACTGATTTAGTGAAAGTTTTTTTCTTATTAAAAATAAATAAAATCTTTAAAAGGCGCTTTCACTAAAGAATTTGGGAAAGATGTCTGGGAAAGCAAAGTGGAATTTTTTAACAAAGCTCAATTTCTTTGTGGTTGCTTTAGCATTTTTCAATGTGGTATCCAGTAAGTCCTGTGTATGTAAAGAGCCTAACTTTTGAAATGCATGAGATCTGGAGTAAATTTTTTACTTTTATCTCATAGATGCTATGGGATTCTGCGGGAAATTTGAAATTACTCTTTTTTTCCTGTTAAGTGATTGATTGTGAAGTTATTACAGCCATGTGCATAATCCACGAACTGACCTTGTTGATTTAATAGCAAGAAGAGAGATTGAGACAATTTGTTCTGGACCTTGACCTTTTGATCAATAAATTAGTTGTTCTCTTTATTATATAGTAGACATCTGAGGTTGAGATAGATTGTACAGTAAAATCTGTCAGAACCAGAACATGCATAAGGCAGATTATGAGAGATTAATGCAATGAAATGCAAATATTTTCCACTAAAATAAATGATAAGACAGTGGTAAGGCTGCACCTTGTCAAAGGCAAAAAGTTTGCAAGACCTAGAAAAGGACGTTAGTCTTGTAGAGTTCCGGATTTCACAGATTTCACTGTAATAGAGTAATCAAAGATTCTTATTTCCCTGTGTAGCATTTCTTTATCCATTGAAATAATGTAGACTTGTACATAAGCTATGTTTCTTCAGACTTCTATTTTTGCTAACTTAATCTGTAAAACTAAGAAGAAGGAAAACAATATAGGTATATATGAGATAAGAAAAATATTGAGATTAAAAAAAAACCCAAAAGAATTTTTTATACACTAGGAAGTGAAGAAAAACAACTAAAAGTGATCAAGATATCATATATGGCTGCACCGAACATTTTAACAATAAACAGGGCTCTGGCCCTAATCTAAGAACAACTTGTTCTTATGATGTGACCCTACTTGATATTTGCCTTCATGAAGAGATCACTGAAGATATGAGTACTATAGGAAAGTGTAGTGAAGAAATCAGACGGTGCCCAGCTCTCAGAAAGAATAGCATCTGGGATCTTAAAGGCTTGTCTTAAAACAAGCCATTTAAGTGAGGACAGCTAACTCCACATGCTAGAAGCACACCAGCCCATGTGATCCAAGGATTGTGCATAATCAAATCCGAGGCTGCATGAGTGAACAGTATCGGAGCTTAAATTCTGAGCACCTTGTTTACAGAGGACTGTGGATGACGGTGAAAGCCCAAAATCCATTTGCAGGATCCTTGTGAGGATTAAGCCTCTGATCATTGGTGAACCCCCTCTGACCATTTACCTGGAATGTGAATTGCCTTGCTATCGGACAGAGTGCACTGGACAGTGGACTAATGCAGATGTAGTTAGTTAGGTTAAAAATTTAATACCTTATCATTAGATCTTCCCTTTGACCTATGTAGAATTTGCTTTAGTTTTTATTATTTTCTGTGAAATTTTGAACTGACGGTTTCCTATATATTTTTTATTCCTATTAGGTTTTTAGTTTTTTCTGTGTATGAAATCCAGGATAGGTATAACCCTAGAGAGACTGTAACTGTATTAATAGTTTTTTAAAGTTATGACAGGAGAGGTTGGGAGGAAATGGGCAGATAATGAATGCAAAGAAGAAGAAACTATGCTAAAATTGATTGTAGTGATGATTTCACAGCTATTCCTAATATAGTTAAACTATTTAACTGTATACTATTTGAATAACACTGTTGACAACATCCAGGGCTCCAGGAAATGTTAATAACAATTGAACTGTTTCAACAAAATGGTGCAGCACTGGAAACACCCACTAGTCTATTCCAAGAAATTTGGAAGACAGTCCCCTGGCCACCCAATTAGTAGAGATGTATATTTGTGTCAATTCCAAAGAGAAGTGACCCAACACAAGGTGGAAATTTTCAAACAATATCATTAATAGCCCATGGGAATTAAATTTTGCTGAAGATAACCAAAAATTGGTTGCAGCAGTGCATGGAGAGGGCTTTCCAAAGTTGAGAAGAAGACATGGCAGACGATAAAGATGTTTTCTTGTGTATTTTATTGACTGTTCACAGGCATTCAGTTTTGGCAATTGTAACAAACTATGTATAACATTGGGAAGAATGAGAATTCCAGAACACTTAATTGTACTCATGTAGAAGGTGCACATAAAGCAATAGGTAGTCATTCGAACAACAAGAGTAGAAGAAAGGTGTTAGGTTGTAAACATCAGTGGAAGTGGACACAGCTGACTTCTGGCCTCCCTTTTGCACCAGGCAAAGGTCAGACAGGTCTCCATGGTCTGTCCTGTACCTGTTCTGATATAGTACACATTATGAGTTGGAATCACATGGTCAGTTTTTCCACAAGCTTTATGAAGCCCCCATGTATATGTGCATGTATGTATTTGAAAGATCTTAAACTAGAGGACTAGGGTTATGGTTAGATTTAGGGTTAGGGGTAGGGTTTGGTTTAGGGTTAGAACTAGAGTAATGGGGGAAAAAAAAGAAATATCTTAAACTAAATAACAAAATGAGGGAATTTGAGTAGGAAATGGGTTTGCTGCATCCGGTATTTAAGGTTTTCCTTTGTTACATTTTGAAACCTCTGTTCTCTTAGAAAAGGTTTCCTACTTCAAAGTGTATGCATTGATTTTTAAGTTGGAACTATTTCTACTAAGTAGTAAATAATGTTTTAAAAGTGAGAGCATTATTAAATGTATGTGACAAATGTAGTTACTTTGAAAGAAAAACTAGAGGATTCAATTTGTAATTATCTTTTTAGCACATGAAAGTACTAACTGGTTTATATGGGGATACTTTTAAGAAATAAGTATATTAATTATGAAATCTTGCTCTCTTTAGAAATGGACCAGTTGTGACAAGATGTAGTGCTGCTCTTGTGTGCTGATGGGATCTGTCCAGTCATGGCTTCCGAACTTTGTAAGGCGATCTCTGTGGCTAGACTGGAAAAGCACAAGAATTTGTTCCTAAATTACAGGAACCTGCACCATTTCCCATTGGAGTTACTGAAAGATGAGGGACTGCAGTACTTGGAGAGACTCTACATGAAAAGGAACTCCCTTACAACCTTGGTATGGTATTATTACATCCAAAACAATTGGTTCTAACCAAGAGGTAGTTGTCATATCCTAAGCTATTCAGACCAAGATCTAGTTCCATCTTGCTATGTTTCAGGTAGTACCAATATAACTCTAGGTTTCTAATTAGCTGGGAATTTAGTATCTGCTCTGCAGTTTTAACTGATGTTCTAAGTAGATCTTAAGGAGCCCTGGTGGCACGATGGATTAGGCATTGGCCTTTCCCTGAGGATTTAGTCTCAGAAACCCTATATGGGGCTGCTGTGAGTCAGTGGATTTGAGTTGTCCTAATGACTCTTATGCAAACACTTAGAGTTCATGCTGTAATTCCTCATAAATCATCAAGGAATAAATTGTTGGCATATTTTTAATGACAAATGTATATTTTTGTAGTTTTCTCTTAATTAGAACATTTAGTGCATACACCTCAAAGAGCTCGATAACTGTAACATGCTCTACAGTGGCGGTTCTCAACCTGTGGGTCATGACCCCTTTGGGGATCAAACAAGCCTTTCACAGGGGTCACCTGATTCACAAAAGTTGCAAAATTACAGTGATGAAGTAGTAACGAAACTAATTTTATGGTTGGGGGTCATCACAGCATGAGGAACTGTATTAAAGGGTCGCGGCATTGGGAAGGTTGAGAACCACTGCTCTACAGGGTTCTGGTGGTGGTAGTAATCGTTGCAATATTCATAAAGCTGTCTAATGTTCTTGATTAGAAGAAAGTGTATGACAAGTTTTGAAAGAGGGTGAGCAATGCTTGTTCTAGAGTGCTCTAGAAAAGTGACTTGTGGAGCTCTCAGGGTGTTTACTTGGTTTTAGATACGATGGTTTCTAGAAGTGACTTAGCACATGAATTTGTCTTGCAGCTGACCAGAAGAAAGTTTCCCCAACACATTATGGGCTAATCGCTCTTTTTTCTTAAAGATATTTGAGGCCCTGTCAATCCATTTTCAAACTATGTTATTGTGTCATATTTACATTAGTTGACTGTGTTCAGTGCCCTCCTAAAGGAAGTGCCTTCCTTTCTGTAATACACAACTGCAGAGATTTGGGGAAAAGAGAGCGAGTCATTAATGCACAAACCTCTGCCCTTCTGTCTTCTCCTCTTCCGGTTTACATGAGACGTTCACAATGTGAGGAATGCCTGTGTTTAGAACCGAAGCACAAGGGATAAGTCTTTTATATATTTAGGAATATAAACTGTAAAATGCTAGCTAAAATATGTATACTCTTATATGAAGATACTTGGAATAATATATAAGGGGGTGCCCCAAACCCTTGGAATTGGCCTGGGCAGAGCGGAGCTTTTGTAGGGTGCATTTTCCCTGTAGGCGAGCATGGGGGGAAGCTCACTCCGAGTTAGTGCAGCCAGTGGTGGTGGTTGGGAAGGTGCTCTCTGGTCACAAGGAATTTTTTGCTGAAAGCAGTTTCGCACAAACCTTGTTTTTTGTGATGGCTGATTTAAGAGAACCGTGTGAGGTTGTGAAATTTTGTTTCCTGCTTGGGAAAAATGCTGCAGAAACTGTTGTGAAAAATGCTTATTTCAAAGCTATTCACCTCTCTGTTAATAAGGTGTACAGTTAATGTTCTGTGCCTGGTACAGGCTTGCCCATTGCTGGCAATGGATTTTGAGAAAACCCATTTCCTGGCATCTAACAGTTAAATTACTCTTCAAACCATACTGAATTCCCAATACTTGCAAAAGTATCACATGCACTGGTTCCCATCAGTTTTAAATCTGAACTTACATTATTAATCTATATCCGTGGGTGTTAAAATGAAGTCATTTTAACAAAGTGTGACTGTACAAATCAAGATATTACTGGATAATATTAGACAAGAGTATTTTACAAACACTACATTACCTTGCAATTTGAAACATTACATTTCATATTCATGTAAATTACTTTTTGATAACTGAAACTTCACAGAATTTAACAGCAGATAAAGTTTAAAATTTAGTCCTGTGCATTAGTTCCAACTACCCCTGCTTGTACAATCTAGAAGACTCATGTCATGTTCAGCACCAAAAAAATCTGCAAAACTGTCTAACTAGTGTTCTTATCCATCTCATGAGAGTTTGGGGTTTTTTTAGTCTTTTTTCTGAAGGTGAAAATCTGAGAAAATGCTCGATAAATTCTACTTCTAGACTTTAAAGTAGCTACACTTTTTGGCTCAGCAGATGGTGTAAAAATGTGGGCTGTACCTTATTTTCCCCGGACACATATAGACAGGAAGAAAAGTAAGAGCACGTACACCACTGTGAATTTGGGCTGTTACGCTTTAAGTTGGATTTATAACACTGAAGCATCGGAAGTCACTAAGAATGCCCTGCACCTATACCTTTTTGCTTTACATTAAAAAAAAAAGTATCCAGAAAAAGGTTTCAGTTGTCCTTCAAAATAAGGACCAAAGAAGATGCAACCACAAACACTTCCTCAGGTACAGCTCCAATGAGCTCTCCAGGGTGTTCTTCGGCCTAGGCCACCTGGGGTTGATTTGGACCATGTTTTCTTTCCCAGCGGACTCTGCGCTAGGATCACTCTGTTCCTAGAGGGTGCACCTAGAGGATGTTCTTAGACAATGCACCTGCTCACATAGCCATCTCAGTGTGCCAGTTTTTGGCAAAAAACAGCATGCCTCTCTCGCCCCACGTACCATACTCACCTGACCTCGCTCCGTATGCCTTCTTTTTGTTTCCACAAGAGAAGAGGGACAAAAAGGACAGCAATTTGAGGACATTAGAGCTGAAGAAAAAAACAAGGGCGGTACCGTCAGCCATCCAAGCAGATTAAAAAATGTTTCCAAGAATGGAACTGCAGTTTTGACACATGTATTCAGTGTAATGCAGAGCACTTTGAAAGTGATAAGGTTGTTTTGTAAAAAATTTAAATACATCGCTTTGGGAGGGAGGGGATTCTCATATAGAAAGTAATTGTCTCTCTTATGTGTTATCCATTTCTATACTGTGTTAATAGTGCTTATAGCCTTCTAACACTTTGGTTATGAGTATGTAATTACATCAAGCTATATCTTTATATCTGCTTATGTCTTGCTTCCCTTTTTAAACAACAATAGAATTATACTATATACATTTCTCTCAAATTTTCCTTTTGACTTCATAGTATTCCTGTTTCACTAACCACCAGACCAGTAGCTACATATGCATCTGTGTGTGTGTGTGTGTGTGTGTGTGTGTGTGTGTGTGTGTACATGTGCTCACACACATCTGTGCACATGGGCTTGTGTTTAGGACTAAGTTTCCAAAGTAGGATTGTAGTATGCCATTAGAAAACAATACTATTTACTTATGTAGCTGAAATGCTTTAACTTTTTTTACATGTAGTATATGGGTTAGACAGGAATCCAGTTATGTAACTTACAGACAAATAGGTAGGAAACATTATGATTTTTGGTTCCTATCATTTACTTAGAAAATGTTTTAAAGTATTTTTCTATAATTATCTTAGAAGTAATTGTCGTTCTTAGATGCCATCAAGTCAGTTCCTACTCATAATGGCCCTCTGTAGCAGTCATGATGGCCTCGGGGAGGCGTCCTGGTAAGATATGCAGAGGACCTGAGAGGAAGCCTTACCACCTTCACTTTGCAGGAGATTCTGTCTGTACCTCTTCCAGACCAGATTTGTTTCTTCTGATGTTTCCCATGTTCTTCACTAACACTGTAATTCAAATGCATCAGTTCTTGTTGATTCAGTGCCCCACTTTCTTGTGCATATGAGGCAATGGAAAGTACCATGGCTTGGGTCTGGTGCACCATATCCTCAAAGTGACATTTGTCATGATGTTGTCTGTTTGTCCCCTTGTAAGGATTTCTATTTAATTTTTTCTTTTACATTGAGTTGTGATCCATTCTGGCGGTTACAATCCTTGATCTTCATCAGCACGTGCTTCGAGTCTTCCTCGCATTCAAAAGCAGGGTTGTGCCATCTGCGTATCGGAGGTTGTTAATGACCTTCCAGTCACGATGTCAGGTTCTGCTGCATACAGCTCAGCTTCTTGTAGTAGTGCTCAGTTTACAGACTAAGTAAGCGTGGCGAAAAGAGACAACCCAATGCAGTTTTCCTGACTGTAAACCACTTTATACCGCTTTCTGTTCACACAACGCCCTCCTGGTACTTGGACAGGCTTTGCAGTTTCTGGAATTCCCATCTTCTCCGTGCTGTCTGTCCAGTTTGTTACGCCCTCAGAGCCGAATGCCTTTGCATCGTCCGTGAACCACAAGGAAAACCTTCCCGGTATTCTCTCCCAAGGCAACGATACCCCTCACATCATGTCTTCTTAACTGTAAATTCTGCGTATAAATATGAACAAATTTTGGATCAGTATGATATTCATAATCCCCTATTAGAGCGCAGTTCCTCTCAGAGTAACAGAATTCTGACATTAATTTAATAGAGTCTGGTAAGCAGTCTAGTCTCTTCATCTAAACTACATTGTTGTTAGTTGCTTTTGAGTGAATTTTGACTTTTCTATAGAAGTATAAAATTAAATTGCAATACATGTTAATTTTAATACTTCTATAAATTTCCCTCATGATACATCTGCAATACTTCTATAAATTTCCCTCATGATACATCTGCAATACTTCTATAAATCTCCCTCATGATACATCTGCAACACTTCTATAAATCTCCCTCATGATACATCTGCATTGCTAAAGAGAAGCTGAGAAGACTTACTGGAGGACACCAGCAGGTGTCAGCAGAGCCTAGAGAATGAGCTACTTACTTGCCAGAGTTTTTTGGCGTGTGCTTTTGTTTTTTTAAAAAACATTATTATAATGAAATGCAGTTTTCTCAAGGTCTGTGTATTTATTTTTGGATAAAACCACAATGTGCTCACTCATTAATAAAGGCACAGTAGCGTACTGTTGGCAGACGAAACATTACTCATTGTTTAATTGTGTGTCTAGATCTAGCTCAAAAGAACTGTTTTGTCATGGGAAGATTTGAATGGTATCTCACTGA